AAAATTTAACTGAGTTTAAGAAAAGATTGAATGAATGAATGAATACATGAGTAGTAATGGTTGGTTATAGTTGGAAGCTGGAAGGGACATCCTTGGGCTCCTTTTTCGTCCCTTTAAAGCTTTATGAAATTCTGTTACAATTGAATGCCCCCAGTGGTTCACTGGTAAGTCTGAAGACTTATAACACTAAAATTCAAGTTTTCTTACTTTGAGCTTAACAACAAAAAACAAAGTGTTATAATTGGTATGGACTTTCATCATTAAATTCATCATGTGCCATGAATTAGGCACAAACTGCTTTTTTTCCAGGTGATTTCACAGCACAGTAGAGAATACAGTACCATGCACAACAAATATTTGGGTTCATGCTTCAAGTGATACAACAGCTAGTTGAGTATATTTGGGACACAACACCTTAAATGCTTAAGACTTAAGCAGTCTAGCCTGCTTGAGATTGAGGATATTTCAGAAGTAGAACATGGAGGAGTACAGCTTAAATAATTTCTGTCAGTTTCACTGTCATCTTGAGGAGGGATCATCATCACATGCATAACATTGTGAATAATAGTATTGTTGATGGTATTTGGCACATACAACACCATCTTTGATAGGATTTTTGTTTCTGAAAGTATCATCTTAGTTGTCTTGGAATTAAGTCCCGTTACCAAATGTGATTGCTCTTTCAGCTCTATAGGTGTTATAATGTGACAATCATTCCCACTATTCAATTAAAATAGCCCAAGAGTTTGTGGTGAGTAGTGCTGACTAGCTGCCTTCCCTCTAGTCTATCACTTAAAAAGTAAGGTTGGCTGTTGCAGATAGCCCTCAAGTAGTTTTGCATGAAAGTAAACACACAAGCCTTCTTAGTTCACGACTGTATGGTCCTGATATGTGTCTTTACCTTTAGGTCCACTCTTCACATGGCATAGCAACATATCTGTATTCTTTCTGCAAGATTGAATAATGTCTCACCAGTTTTACTTCATTGCTGCAGTCATTAAAAACCACTCGGTAAGCAACATGGCAAAACATCATTAGATCCAAAAATGTCTCAGTTTCATTGGATAATGTAATTTTTAATCTATTCTCATGCATTTGGCTTTACTGAGCTAGTTGCAGATTTGTTCAGTGGTTACCTTTCGTATAATATACATTTATATCACTAAGAAATAAAAGCTTTAAATATTTCAAAATATGGCAAAAGATGGATTTTTACATTTTTTTATAGATTTAAGACATTTTGAAGCCCTTTCCTCTGGGGCTCAAGTAGCATGGGTTGCACTCCCTGTCAATTGGGCACTGAACATAGACAATAGTTTTTATGACAAAAATGAATGCAGAGTCAGAAAAAATTATGTTAAAAACTGAACACTAGTGGGTCTACAATGTATTTCTTTAAATTTTGTGAAGAAAAAGAATCTGGTAATAAATTACTATAAACATACACTATGGGGAAACAGCTTGTATAGTAAATATTTATTTTTCAGTCATCACATGTAGCTAAACTTTCCATATTATTGATCTTTGTCCTTAGAAATTAGCAAATTTTTTCTAAGTTTTAAACATATAAATTATAATACATTTTGTATGATTGCAAATTTATCAGGCATCAGTTTATTCAAAATAACATAGAAACGTTTAGAAAGGGCTTTTGGCTTACATTTCATTTACAGCTTGCCCAACAAGTTAGAAATTCTGCCATGCATGATATTAACGATCCATTTTGGTAATACAGGCTTATAAATCTACTTATGAATATTAATAAATTGTTTGCTCATGCATAAGGCTAAAACAGAACACATTTTGTTTAATTATTTTCATTTTACCAGATTTATTAATTAATACGTATCAAAAAGTCAAATTGTTTTTGTCTGTATCTAAATTTAAATAGCAACATTAATGAAAAAATAAAATATATGTCACAAAAATGCATTGCAAATTATTGAAAATAATTATAACAAGTTGCGTGCAACTAAAATCAGAATACTGTTGAAAGTTTATCATACGTATTCCTGATATATATCCAAAGAAATCAATGTATATAGTTTTAAATGTTTTGGCATCACTATATGATATAATGCTCCATTGAGGATTTTATTGATGTTTTAAAGCTGCTGAATGTAATGGTCTGATACCTGTGAGTGGAATTAAAGAAATGAAGTTTTTTTTAATAATCTCATCTTTCTTTTAATTGATTCTTAAAATATGATATTGGTAATATACACATATTTCATATGAGTAACAAAACATTGAAATATTTATAATGATAACTTATATATTAATGTCTTAATTTTATTTGGTAGTATGAGTAATTTAGAATCCATTCATTAAAAACATAAAACATGTTGGCAGATTTTACACTGTAAATACAATGTAGAAAGGATAAATATTAAAGAAAGCCAGAGTATATGTTTTTTCAGGTAGTTATACAAAAGTAAATTTACATATTAGCTTTTTTTTTTAAATGTATTTCTGTGTAAATTCTTTTGTTTTTGCCACTTAGTTTCTATTATATGTTTACAGACTATCCTCTGGAGAAAAAACAGGCAAGTTTGTAACTTTTACTATAAAGTGTATTAGGTGTTGTTGTTAATTGTGTGGCTGAAATTAATATTTTGATATGTGTTCACATAAAACAGTGCTTGTATTCCATTAGATCTCATCCATGAATTTTTTTGGCTAACATGGTGAAGTGCTTTTGTCATTCTGTATCCAGCATCCGTGGTTTTGCCTATATGTAACTGTATAATTGATAAATAAAGTAAAATGTTTAAAAAATTAAACTAAAACCATGTTAAGATCTCTACTAAATTTATGTAATAGATGGAGTTGCAGTCAGTTCATTCTGTTTTGTGAATGCTTTCTGGAATTTTATTTTTTTGAACAATCCATAAGAAAAATTAAATCAATATCTTTACTCATTTTTCTTATAATAGAATAACCTAGTTTATATTTCATTTGTTATGAGTTGTAATTAAAAAACACAATAACAAATGTATTTAAACTCGTTATGTTTCCCACATTATCTTTAACTCAGTTTTTCTAGATGGCATCGTATTTGGTGTAGCCACTACTATTTTTATTTAGTTTTTGTTATAATTTTGTTGTTGTTGTGTGTATGTTGTTCTATACTTGACATGTATTCAATGCATTGGGCCATGTAAATTTTGTACCAATGACATCGGTACATTTAATGCTTTTTAAAATTTTTTTCGTTTGTTTTGAGATATTATTACATATATGTTTATCAAATATGAAAGTATCTATAAAATTTATTTATTGTTTGGTACTCTAACCAGTACATTTTGTTTTACTTCATTGTTTATCTTTCTTTGTGTGTTTGATGTTTATTTTCTTTGTTGATACACAGTGTCATATGAAAATATTACTCAGATTTAAAAAAATGTAATCATTAATGTATTTTATAATAAGATATGAATAAAGATAGATTCTAGTTGGTTACTCAATACATATTTTTTATTCAATTTTGAAGATGTTTAAAAACATCCAAGAAAAGTATGAACTATAGAAACTTAATTTTCAAAACATACTTACCTCCTTTCTCACTTACAGCTATTACTCGAATGCCAGGGTTTCTTCCTTTGCCCATATAAACATTGTTCTGATTTACTCTCCCTTGCTCCAGTCTTTTATACCCCACTCAATTGCCTTTGACTATATTTAACTCCTGACACTCTCCACATACATCAGTGCACCCTCTATTCTGGTACTGCATATAATCACCTCATTCAAATAGTTATCGCTTTTTCTCGACCAAGTGGGATCGCCTCCTGTGACGACGGTGAGTATTATATGCCTTCAGGGTCTGTGGGGGCTCAGCAATGAGAATTTCTGGATATGTGGTAACCTTAACCACTGATCCAGGAGCACTACAGGTCCTTGAATCAGGATTAATCATTCAGTTCACATCTTCACCACTATTATCCACCCAACCTGTAGTGTTTCAATCTCCCACAGATCCTCAGGATTTGAAACTTAGTTCTAGGGCTATCAGAGTTTGGTTGTTCCGAGGATAATGAAAGAGTCGTGCTAGTTTTTCGGAGGTTTTATTCCCGTTGGTTGTTGGGCCTCAGAGGACTGATGTCCAGTCACTGATCTTTCTCATCTATATGAATGCCTAGAATCTCCAGTTTTCACAAGTTACTTATTCCTCAATCTGAGTTGACATTTTTTACTGGGATTGTGGATGTCCAAGTTCGTTGTAGTCAGCTCATATCTCCATATTGCCATAGTGGTGGCATCCCACCACTATCGTCATTTTTTGTACACAAGGGTCAAGTACTGCAGTTCTGGATTTTTTACCTTTGGACTCGCATTGGCTTCAGATGAGATGTGTCATATCATACAAGTTTTTTCTTGTCACCTCCATCCATCGCACTGGCACACACCATTCCATAGACAACTGGTTACTGCTGCTGGTACTATATTGTCAGTTGTCAGAACATCACATCCTGATTCTACTTTCACTAACAACCAAAGCAAGCTTCATTCTTAGGCCTGAGACATCTATTCTTTCTCCAATTCAATATGTCATTACTCTGGGTATTTTTATTTTTCATCTCATCTCTCAGTTGGGCCCAGCTGACTCCTATCCAGCTCAATGCTATAGAATAGGAAGCCTTACTCTTACTCACCTCTCCTTTTCCTACTGCACAGATGGTTCTTTCTTTTCTGGGAATGTGGCCATCACTCAAATCCCTCATTCCTTTGGGATGAGAGGACAAGAGATCCTTTTAATAGTCTTTATGCGACCAAGGCATCCTGAACATTGACTCACTAGATTCTCTATTTTGCTTAGTTGGGATCATTCTTCAATCTTGAGGGGTTGTTAAGTCAAGACACTACTAAGATATGGGTTCCTCTATCACCACCTTGTCCAGAGTTCCATCTCTTCATGAATGCCTTACTTCTGGGATGAGGTGCATATACCAATAGTCAGGAATTCCAGGATCTAAGCACAAACAAAAGGGCTTCCCTACACAATGTTTTAGTCCTTCTTGTTCTTCAAAAGGCAATGTATCATGGTCTGGGCTCATTAAGGGGAAAATCATCACTCTGACAATTCTGTGGTGGTGTCTTTTGTTTCTCATTGAGAAGGCACTTGGTCCAGGGCTCCTTGTTTTCGAATCTTGGACCTCCTTTTTCAGGACCACTCCTATCATATCACCCTCCTAGCTTACCATGTTCCATGGGTGATGCCTGCAGTAGCTGGTCAATTGTATCAATCCAAACAAGTTCTTCTGACAGAATAGATACTAAATCAAAAGTTTCTGTTGGATTGGCTCTCATTGGATCAGCCAGCTTCTGGCAGTTTGGTCTCCAGTACCTCACTTTCGGGCTTTGGCAATGGATGCATTTTGTCAGGACAGGATGGAGTTATAGCCCTTGGCCTTCCCTCCAATTCATATATTATCCATGGTACTAAATATGATTCGTTCCAACCCATTGTTAGGTCTTGCTGATAGCATCAAATTGGCAGCTATGCCCTGTTTTCTGCTGGTATCTTCCAGAGTGTCCACCTCTTCCACTTCTTTTTAGGCCATATCTGTGGAGGCAGCCATGATCTGACATGGTACAGCTGGCTATCCAGGAGCTCAAGCTTCAGGCATAGAGGTTATGCAATCTTTTGCCTGGCAGCAGTGTTTAATTTCTAAGGTTTTCATGTATCTGTCTCAGTTTTTGCTTAGTCCTGAGATGAACATTTATCATCAGAAATGACACGCATATCGGCAATGGTACATTGAGAGGAGGTAGAACCTACTTTGATCAGAAGTGCCAACCATACCCCGTTCTTTGACCTGGCTCTTTGGTAGGGATTTTTGCATCTTCCACAATCGCCCTGTTTAAGGCAGCCTTATCGACCACCATTCGATTCTCATGACTAAATATTCTTTGAGTCCCCAGTACTCTCCGGATTCCTCAAGTTACTTTGTGTCCTTGGTCCCAAATGACCATTCCGGTTCTTTACAGGTATATTAAGGTTAAATTACATGCTCTTTCTCAACAACTGTTTGTGGCCTGATTCTTATATGCCATGTATCCCCTTTATTTGAAGGTTTATTTTTCGTGGCTGTTGACCTACAGACCTCGCAAGTTGGAGTGATTTGTGCTGTTTGTCCACAGACTGCTTTCTCATTTTCTGTACATTCTCAGACTGGTTCTTCTTACCCAAAACACTGTCAGACAGGGAAGGGGTAACAAATCCTTTTCACCAATTCATCTGATCACTTTCTCACTTCTGTATCCTATCAGATTTTGATCATGGTCATGTTCAGTGAGGGCCTTGAAGGTTTTGTTGCCAGCACTAATGCATTTAGAGATGCTAGAAAATGACTTTTTATTCTTGGCACTTTTTAAAGGTGAAGAATTTTTTGCAAGTCATGTCTATTCAGGTTTGTCACATTTCTGTGTCCTTAGTAGCCTGGTCGAATTGCCTGCTGGAGGACATTGGGCAGACTGGTATGTGGACCTCCCCCAATACTTTTATTTCACATGATCTGGCAATATCTTCATCTGAGAGTTTTTGCCTACCCCTATCTTAACCATTTTTGCTAGATTATACAGAATGGTGAGTATTTTCATTGCTACCTATCAGGGCCCCTTACCTTATTTTCACAGGAACCCACCCTGTGGCAAATGTTGTCCAGGCAGATGTGCTTTTATCAAACCAATTCTGCACAAGCAACCACTAATTCAATATGCTTTATACAGGTTACAATAGGCTATGTAGAAATGAGATGTTCCATAACACCACCTAGAGGCTGACCTAGTGGTGTTATGGAACACCTCATTTCTATTATTACTGTACTATACTGGACCACCACTCATGGACTATCATGAGTAAAGCATAAGGGGATCCTGCCTGTCCCTGCTGATCATTGGATTGAATAAATCAGGGTCAGTTTGCTTTTAAAAATTTAGAAACTTGGTTCACCTATTACACTGTTCCTCAGGACTCCTTAATGTGCATTACCCCCAGATTCTACTAGTGGAGCTAGGGAGTCCTTATCCTTACCACACCCGGTTTCCAATCTCTGAGGTGGTGGAGGCTTTTCCTCCAGAGTGTTAGAGTGAATACCTCTACTCTTGGAGAAGAGGGCAAAGTTGGGGGCTCTCCTAATCAGGTCCCTAGATGTTTTTTCTCAGATGTCGGTAGGAGTGGCACCAGCCTACACAGGAGCCTACTCATAATACTGATTCAGATTTGACACTCGGCTATCCGGTTGAGTTGTGCATGGCCATTCTTTTTGATCCATATTGATTTACTACATTGTTCTTGGAAGAGGGTTCACTGTCTCTTGATAATTCTGAACACTGAATGGTTCCATCCTGGGTCCTTGGTTGAGCACAATTGTTCCACATCCTCCACATAATTTTGGGGCAATTGGAATTTACCTTACCCACACAGTTTGGCAGTGAGGATGAATGTTCATAATTCCAGATCAAATGGGTTCTGTTTAATCAGGTTGAATAAGGCATACACAATCTTGTCATTCCGAGCCTTTGGTGTTTCCTTTTGGACTTCTTTAGGTCGAGGAGAAGGTTTGTCCACTTCACAGTTGCTTACTTTCTCCTCATGATTCTGGTGGCTTGGAATGCATCAGCTACAGGTTAGGATTCACTCATAAGTATATATATATTTGGTCGTCAAGAACTTAATGTCATGTTTTGGAATACTGTCATCAACCACCCCCCAAAAAACGTACATCACGTATGATAATTAAACATTAGTGTAGCCTATGTAATGTGTAAAGTTTGGTATACTCTAATCCCTTATAGTGATGGTACACAATGAGACACACATTTGGCATGTAATGCTGTTTGAATACAAGAAGGGAAACAATGCTTCTGTAGCCAAAAAGAATATCAAAGAAGTTTATGGAAATGTTTTGAATGTTCGTAAGTGTCAACGATGGTTCAGCAAATTTCGTTCAGATGACTTTAGCCTTAAAAACTGTGATGGCAGGGGTCAACATGTTGGAAGTGATATTGATGCTCTGAAGATGCTTGTTGAGCCTAATCCAAGGCAACACACTCATGAAATGACCCTGAAATTGCATGTCTCTCATGAAACAATACATAAACATCAAAACAATATGGGAAAACTCCTTAAAGAAGGTGTTTGGGTGCCTCATGAACTCTCCAATGATCATTGTTTCCAAGATTTGAACATTGCTTCGTCTCTTCTGGCGCATAATGCACGTGAACCATTTATGGACAGAATTGTCACCAGTGATGAAAAATGGATTCTCTATGCAAATATTAAATGCCAAAAACAGTGGTTCAGTCCTAGACAAAAAACACTTCCAACCCCAAAACCTGGACTCCATCTGCCAAAATTGATGCTTTGCATTTGGTGGGACATCAAAGGAGTAATTCATTTTGAACTCCTCAATCCACAGTGAGCTGTCATTGCAGAGATCTATAGTCAGCAACTGGAACGTTTAAATCATGCCCTTCATCAGAAATGCCTTTCACTCATCAATTGGAAAGGTATTCTTCTTCTCCATGACAATGCACGTCCACATGTGGCACGTTTGACACAACACAAGATTATGGAGTTGCGTTGGGAGTTCTCACTCACTCACCATATTCACTAGATATGGCACCATCAGATTACCATCTTTTTCATTCGATGCAACACCATCTTAATGGAAAAACGTATGCAAATGTGAAAGGTGTTAAAGAGGACATCGACATGTTTTTTTTGCTTCAAAGCCAAGTGATTTCTTTAATCAGGACATTAACAACTTGATTGTAAGATGGAAAAGCATCACCGATAACTATGGAGAATATTTCATTTAATAAATGTTTTGTTTTGATATATATGTTGTTCGGGTTTTTTCATCTAAACAAAACGATATTAATTTCTTAATGACCTAATACTTGTTCCAAAATAGTCCGTGTTTCGTGCGCTAACTGACACGCTCTTCGAAAACATCGGTTTTT